CCTATAAACAATAACGGTCATCATGATGACGATAATTTTGATGAGGACAATGCTTTTTATGAATTATTATTATGAAAAAGATACTTGTTCAGTAAAATAGTAAAGATTTGCCCCGGGGAATTTCAAGTATTTTACCCTGGGGCAAGGGGTGAAAAAATTGCTAAAATACCCCGGGGTGACGGGGTCGGAGTCCCCGGGGTAGACACTCTAGTAATAACTTGACAAGTAAAATACTTACCCATTTTCTATTTTTAATTATTATTTTTTTTAATTTAATTTCGGTGCCTAAAACTTACTTTTCAATTACTATGGTTAAAATGAAATGTGTGTTACCGCACTAATCGAGTATTATGCACGCACTAATCGAGTATTGGTTATAAACAAATTTAAGCTCACTAAACGAAAACGCATTAATCGAGGGATTCCTGTATTTACTCACTTCTGTGGTGATGATCTCCTCGTCAACGTGTAGATACTTCTGTGGTAATGATCTCCTTGTAAAACATGTAGATATTTGTGAAATAGATATTAGAAAAGAGGGTATTTTTGAAAATTCACAAGTTTTTTTTTGTTTTTTTTATCAGTTGTACATTGTAAAACATTTATTGTTCTCAACATTACACCAGATTTACCTGACATCATTAGATGAGATACAAGGTTAGCCTCAGTTCTTGTATCTCATCTGATGATGCCAAGTAAACATTGTGAACAAAATAAATGTTTTAATATGTATAACTGATTTTAAAAAATATGTGAATGCATACACTCACTTCTGTGGTAATGATCTCGTTGACAAACATGTAGATACTCAGTCTGAGAACTACAATAGACATAGAATTTTTTTTACCATAACATTCAAGTCAGATGAAATCTTTTCTTTCACTATTGTATAATTTCAGTACTTTCTTGGTGGCTTGTTGCTTGGATGTAGAAAATCCAAGTTTTAAAATATGAACCATAGTGAAGGAAACTCGGTAGCATCATGCAGTATTAGATTGTTATTGTACAAATATGATGTGCAGTAGGAAAGTTTGGGTCACCTCATTCTTGAGGGTAGGAAGCTTAAGAAGGAAAGTGATTTTTCTTTCTTTTGTTCCTCTTTAGATTTTTATGACACCTTATCGGGTTAAGGAAACAGCAGTTGTATGTATAACTATATACTGTATATTACTAGTCCAAAAATGTAATTGGCTCAGTCAGGCCTTTTGCAGTACAGGCAAAACTGCTATTTATACTGGGTCTGTGAACCATGGTAAATGTTGAACCTTGATGTAAGTTCTCACTTCTGTAGCAATTATTATAGTTAACAATATATTTTTTTTACTAGCATAACTAATAACTTTTTCTCCAGATACCACGACCTATACATGAAGGCCAAGGGTAATGTCTTTAAGAACAAGCGTGTTCTAATGGAGTTCATCCACAAGAAGAAGGCAGAAAAGACCAGGACAAAGATGCTGAGGTATAGCTTGGTTTGACATGAAACTATTTTTGATATTTTTATTATTTTTAATTAATCTACCCCTTGGCTTGACGTTCATCTCCAATTATTGATGCTTCAGATAAACTATAAGTTATAATTTTGACTTTTTTTTTTTACTTGTGATTGTTCACACTGCATTTTATGGTCTTTTAAATTAATAAAATTTAATAATTTATACCAGATTTCTCAATTCAGTCTTCATAGGCATATGTGTTACTTATCAAAACCTATATAAAATTATTATTCCCTTGTAGTTCTTCAGTTGAATAGATACAAGTACAAATTATAGTTGCCCCTCTGAAATACTGTAGCTCTTGCCTTGTTGTGTTTGCTGATGACAAACTTGGTTCAAAATTCAAAATGTCCTTTATGCAATGTACAACGTGTATCACTTGCCCATAATTCTCCACTCTCCTATGTGACTTGCTGCATATGGGTCGGGAGATCTTAAATAAGTTCCGCTTTCCTGACATTTTCTTGTTGACAGTTATGTTACCTTTGCCTACAGTGAACTCTGATGATGTGTTTTTTACTGATGCTAGTGTTTCTAACACCTTATCAGCTGACCTTGAAAGATCTTTTATCTATATTGTTTGTCTTTATGGAATTTCACCTTTCGGGAGAAGCAAACCAACAGGAATTGATTGTGGTTCCAGAATTTTGTTGTATATTTGAGATGACCAGCAATTAATATTCATCCTCCTGCCTTTCCTTTCTCCATCTTCTTCTAGGACAGTGTCAGTACTTCTGCTCATTTCTTTTGACCTTACTGTGCATATAAATGTAGACATAACCAAGTGGGTCTTTTAGTCCCACTATTGAATCTTTTTGTTCTAGAAGAATATCCCATCTGGACTCTCAGGTGTTTGTAGCTCTGTTTAAAGTGTGTATAATTGTACCTCATGCTTACAAATTCTGTATGAAGAAGTCTCAAATATCCTTTAAAGAAACAGTCAACATTTTTTATCTGCATTTGTACTAGACAGTTTCATCCACAACACTGTATTGTTCTTTGTAAGTGGATAAATGATGTCCTTACAGGTACCTTTCTCACTTCCTCGTGCATAGATATCTGAGGTAGAATGGTCATTCTCAATGGATATCCCAACTTCATCCAAGATAGGAGTCATATATGTTTTTAATTTTATTTTTGATCTCATTGTAATGTGCTTAAGCTTTTGGACCATATTTTTGAGACAAGTTGGGTCATTATTCATCCAGTCTCTGTGTTCTTTCACTAACAGAAAATGTGTTGTAACAAATTAAACATTAAACTGGCTAACAGATTCCAGGAAGACACTTGAAATACAATACAGACTTTGCCACACCACATCATTCAGCTAATCACGGTATTAGAACTGTACAAGTACTGTATGAAATATATGCCAATAAAATAGCTGGACTAAAAGATGAACAGAAATTAACTTCTAAACTTAATGTTATACCCTAAAGCTGCTAAAGAAAATGTTTGTAAAAGTCATCTCTAATTTTATTTGGTTATTTTCATCAAGTTATGTCCCACATAAGTTTTTATTTGTTTTTTATTATTATTTGATTTTTTTGGCTCTGTTCAGATGAACTTATGTTTGTCACATGATCTGATTTTAACTCTGTTTAGTTCTCTTAGTCTGGTGAAGGGTAGTTACCCAGAACATCCATTTCTGTGAATAAATTTATTTTACCAGCATTCTCTCTTAGAGAATTGTAATATTGGATGAGTTGCTCCACGAGAACCTTCCACTGCAGGAGCAGGACATAGATTCCACTAACTTGTTTATGTCTCTACCTGTGTTCATGTTTTTGGCTCCACATATACAATGAACCATTACCCTAATAACCAACTACTATTTTGTTCAGACTGGATTATTATTTTATTTTCTTTAACTCGCTTGTTTAATTTTCATTGTCATCATTTCCCACCTTCTATTTTTAGTATGGGTGTTCTGGCCTACACTATTTCAAAATTAAAATGAATTTCACATAGGTATTTACATCTGAAATGCTTTCCCACACACCTCCCTGCAACCAGACCAAACATGGTTTTCATCAGGGCTATAACTTTAACATTTACTGACATATGCAATAATAAGTCATGGGAGAGTGGAGAATTATGGTAATTGTCACGTGCTCTACAATATGCAAAGGACAATAAAAATGTTGATTTGCATGTTTGTTGACAGCGTGAGGGAAAACTTGTCAAGGAAAGAGCTAGAGTATTAAAGAGGAACAAAAACCTGATTTGAAATTAATATTAAAAATTAATCATAACTTAAAGTATCAGCTAAACCTGTTAGCATACACATGTAAGTATAACTCCTACTTCGTAGTTAAATGGAAAATACTGTTAAATTATGTAGGTATTTCTACATATATCACTGATACAGGTAACGGTTAAAGTAGAAAGTTTATGATTGAACATATTAATTTTCTTTGCAGTGATCAAGCTGAGGCTCGTAGACAGAAGGTAAAAGAAGCCCGCAAGAGGCGTGAAGAGAGGATTCAGCAGAAGAAAGTAGAACTTCTTCAAGCCTTCCAGAAGGAAGAGGAGGCAGCCAAGAAGTAAACAAATTGGCTTTCTGTATATTCTTGGTTTTGCTTTGTTGATATAATAAAAAAAAAGAGAGAGAAACTGTTTTGGAGTGTTGAACAAGAACAAAACAATTATAAATTTATTTATACATTTATAGATCAATGCCAAAAATACTAACTTGAAAACCTTCCCACAAAATGGGATTAAAGTAATTATTGTACAAGTTGAATAACGCAAGAGGTATCTAACATTATCTACGGCATAGGGTTACTGTACTTCAGAATGTCAAAGCTAAAGAAAGGCATGGTAGTATAGTTTTGTTCAAATCTTGTTCTTTTAATTGTGCAGGGGTTGAAAGACCACCTAAAAGATCCACTATCTTCTGATTTTTTTAATAAATACTTGACCTTCATGTAAATCACTGACATATAATCACTTAAATTCTTTCTGTAAAAGAATAGGCCCAAATGTTTTTGGGGAAAAGCCTCACCCCCACCCTGTAGTGCTGGAGGTGCCCCAAATGTGGTTTTATAACAAAATCAATATCTGACCAGTTTCAAATTTTATGCGAGAAATTTATAATGTTTCATAGAAACCTGTAACAACTATATTATTTGATATGAAAGTGTTAAACAGTGCTTCAAATGTGGTTTTACAACAAAATCAATATCTGACCAGTTTCAAATTTTATGCGAGAAATTTATAATGTTTCATAGAAACCTGTAACAACTATATCATTTGATATGAAAGTGTTAAACAAAACTGAGGGAAATTGTTGTGTAAGGTTAGGAAATGTATACCAAAAACTTGCATGGATATGAACTCAAAGAAAACTGACGTTTTTGTTATCCAAACACTTGGTGATTTAAATAATTTTAATATAGCATGTTTTTGCTGACTTAACTTGTGCAATTTTTACACCTAAGATATTGTACTTCTATGGATACAAGTTTAAAAAATAATTCAAACTTTAATTTCTCTGCAAGACAATATAAATGAAGATGTATACATACGTTTCCATGGTATTGTTATTAGCATTAAAGATTCCTTAATGGTGCTGACTAACGTATGATTAAAGTATATTGTTCCAAACTTATTTATTAAGAGCAAACTAAGACTATTGGATATCAGTCGGTCACAATCAAGAAAATCACCAACTTAAACCACGGAATGGCCTATGGTCATAGTCTCATTTTCAGGCCACTTCAATAGCAGGCATTCCTGGATGTTTGAATTGTAATTAAACCTTCGACAGTATACTTCACACTTACAGTTTCCTGGAGTTTCAGTTTTGTCCTGTATGTATGCCGTTTGTTTGTGTTTAAAATAAAATAATGAATTGGAGACAACTAAGTGATGTGGGACTAGACGGGAGATATAAGCCGATGATCAAAACACACGTGCTTCTCAACCTAGTTAATCTATTTCTCAAAGTTTCTAGACACGGATTAACGTTTTAGTTTTTAATTTTCGTCAATAGTTTTAAAGTGGCTGTACTGAAAGTAATCTATGGATGGAAAAGTTCGTGATGCAAGTTTAAAGTTTGTAGTACAAACTGGAGAGTATTAATTGTTAAATAAGACACTACAGAAAACACTTTATTTAAGCCAACGTTTCACCATTACGGTTTCGTCGTGGCAAACAAGACGCTAACTGATATAGATTTATACAAAATATCCATCCGAATCTAGTATACTTAGTTTGCTATGTGTTCACTGTTTTTTTTTTCGGGTTTATAAACGTATTTCTCATATTAACTGGACATTATAACTGGTTCTATCGTGCGAGAAAAAAAAGGTTAAAACTTGCTAATTGTAACCACGGAAACGGGTACTGGATATTAGGATTGGTTTTATCATGAGACAAAAAAAATGTTTAAACTGTTGCTAAAAGTAATCGGGGGAAACAGGTTGATAGACAAAATGATAGATAAACGGATATCGTAGCATATCTGTAATTTTTAATTTTTTTTTATCAATTTTTATAACATTTAATCACTGCAAAAATTAACGTTTAAATTTCAAGAACGCAACTTTTTAAAGCAGTTTAAACTTCTAGTTTTGAGATTAGATTTTAAAATAAACCCCTACGTCATAATGTTATGGTAAGGAATAAGTGAACGTTATATCCTTAATCGTGGGTGTTCGTAGCACGATTTGGTACAACTCTTGTATATATTTTACACGTTTTTATTACCCACCGTTAGAAAGTTTGAGTCAAGATGTTGAGCCTAACAAATATTTTCCCTGTAACTATGGTTTTATATCAAGGAAATTACAATTGGAGATAATCTGTACTTGATTCCGAACAGATGCATAGTCTGAAAACGTTGAATTTGAATATTATTTTAATCACACGTCTCATTCTTAAGGAAACTTGTAAATAAAATAACACGTTTAGTGACTTCGGAATTGTTACCAATTCTGTATACACTCTAGTTGAAATTAGTGGTTACAAAGACCCTTTCCTTGACAGTGACTATTAGATTATTTTGAGAAATAAGAGCTAATTGGTCAAGTCTGAAACTTCTAGAGTTAAAGAATTGTAATATCTTAATTTAAAACTACTGACCAAAAGAAAGGTAACCATTTATTTAACAGCATTCGCACGGAGCATGTTCAATGATATATTGTGACTCGAACCTTAGACTTTTCGGCTTTCCACATTCTATGGATAAATCGAGTCAATGTGAACACACAAACAAACAAGAAACTTGAAACCAACAGATATAAATTCAAACACTAAGTACATAAGATCAAACATTTGTTCACAGTTTTCTGGTAGCGAAACAATGACTCAAACTGTTTGTTTCACAGTGGTTTAATCCACATATTATACAGACGCTTATATTTTATCTAGGTTAAACTGAACTCACTTTGTTTTCTTCTTGTTTTTTCCGCCGTGAAAAATATTGTTTCTTTAATGGATTGGAAAAGATCAGCTTGATTTCCAGTTTCAAAGATATTTTCGCTGGATGTGGTAAATCTCTGAGGACCTTGAACAGTTTTAGGGTGTTTTGTCCCAGAGAAAGAGAGGTTTTAATATTATTAAATTCGCAACTAATGCAATAAAAATAAAGTTCGATTTAAAAATAAAGAAATTAGTCTTGTAACTTTTAATGTCTTTTTTTTTTCATTTTTAACGTTATTTTACAAAACATTTTAGAAATACAAATTACATTTACTTCATAAATAAATAAGCTATTTTTAAAATAATTTTACTTTAATAAATTATTTTCCTCATGAAATGTCGTGTTATAAACAACAATTACTATAAGCTTTCATTTTGCGTCTAGACTTAGCTGAAGAATAAAATAAATATTTTTATTAGTTTTAATTTTTGATCGTAAGTGCATTTTAATATAATTTTAACTTATTCCTCTTATTATTAAATGATATAATAAAAAATCTTAAATATAATAACAGGACTACGCTGTCATTTTTGAGAAGTCGTGATGGAAAATTTGTTTTTACATTACAATGTCAAATGCTTAATATGACGTTTTGTTGTATTAATTTCCCCGAAAGGGGGCCAAGGGTAACCTGTTTTAATCATTCGCACCACTATACAATAGTGTGTTCGCTATTACTATTGTTTGTTATGGGTTTCGCGCAAAGCTACACGAGTGCTATCTGCGCTAGCCGTCCCTAATTTAGCAGTGAAAGATTAGAGTCATCACCACCCACCGCCAACTTTTAGGCTACTCTTTTACCAACGAATAGTGGGATTGACCGTTACTTTATAACGCCCCCACGGCTGAAAGGGCGAGCATATTTGGTGTGACGCGAATTCGAACCCGCAGATTGCGAGTCGAGCGCCCTAACCACCTGGCCATGACGGGCCGCTATTACTATTAATCAGTCAATATATCTATCTATATACTACTAAAACTGTGAGATTGTTTGTTTGTGGGCTTGTCTGTAATTAAATACAGCAAAAACGGTGCACAATACCGCCATATTTGTAATGAAATGAGAATAGAAACAGAACAAAACAAGTTTCGTTAAAATTGGGCCACGGGTTACCGAGTTAGCCCCTTTTTCGGGTCACTTTTACGAAAATGTCTAGATGAATTTATGTACATTAGATGGCGCCACATAACGGTTCATTTATCTATCTATTCGTTTTCCACCTGAT